ACGATTAATGTATAATATATTACCATAAAAGTAAACAAAATATGTAAAAACTCAACAAAAAAGTTGCATACCATTGTGCTATGACTATTAATAAATTTGTTTAATGAATATATTTCTCGAGTTTCTGATCTAATGTTATGGGAATAAATTTATTGTCACAACTATTATTCAAAAATTGGTTATTTAAAAAAAACAATTTCAAATAAAATAATTCCTTTGGAAGATCAGGACTAGCTAAAAGAATGTTCTGAACAGAAAAATGTTACTAAGGACTTTACCTACCTGTTTTTAAATAATTATTGATAAATTAAAGCAAAAAAAGTTTAATTTACACCCTATACTGTCTACTTTTTTCTAGTTCTTGTGGAAACTTGATATATATTATAGTCATTCTGAAAAAATTATTTGCAACATTACATTTTTCTTTAATATTTCACAAAATGTAAGCAATTTAAAAAATTTCATATATAGTAGAAAAAATTATTAGTGATTAGATGAATCGGCAAAACTTATTTATAATTATTCATAGAATAATTTTTAAGTCTTTTTTATATAACATATTGTGCTCTTAGTGATGGAGAGTGCAAAATGCTAAGTACATGCTTTCTAATTCTTGTATTTTTGTTTCTGCATGTCAAAAAAAAAGTATGTGACCGGTTTATGAAAATTAAGCTTGATTGTTAGAGAAAACTACACTTACACATGTGGAATAATTCATGATATAAACCGGTAGAGCACTTGGTAGACTGCACAATTAGACTACTGCAAACAAAACTTATAGAAGTAAGGATTTTCCTAGAATTTTTTTCTACTGGAAAACTGAGTCGGTCAGTCTCCGCCAGTAGTCCGTCTTCCGATTTATCTGATTTACCTGTATAAAGGCAATTCATTTCTTGTCAATTATGGCTTTAACAATGTGGCGGCTTCATTCATCTCATCCTCAAGTGGTTTCGCCGCAAAGGCTATATTTGTGTCCGAGACCTTGGGATTACGTTATAGTCTTTTTTTTTTATTGGCACTCTTTTTCGATCTGTTTTCGTGCGATGCTGATTCGTACGGTATAGCGATGAACTAATGGTCATTCCTTGCTGAGTATTTGAAATGGCTAATTGAGCTTCTAGAGTCTCCGATAGATATTCTTCTTTCTTTTGCGTTTTTACATGTGTAAAAAGCTTTTTACCCACCCATGAGTGAAGTTCTTTTATACCGGCTAGACACTAGAACTGATTAGTGTATTCTTGTTCTGAATAAAGTTTAGTTTTAATTCGCGTCCTGATATCATTTTTTATACATTTAATATACCAGTCATCTAATTAGTGATTATTAAATTAAAGAGTAATTGTAACGCAAGCGATTGTTGAAATATAACTAGCCGATTATTGCTATTTGAAATTTAATATGGTGCCTCGAATGAACGTTTCAAATTGAATAAAGTGATGTAATCCCGTCGATTGGTATGTGAATAAGGGAGCGTGTTCCGGAAACGCTCAATAAGACAACAGTCTAAACTCACCTTACCACCATCAATGAGATCTAGATAGAAGCACGCAAAATATATGCTGACATTGCGATGCATGCTACCTTCACTGCCGAAACGTACTTATCAGAGAACATTGATTGTCAGAGTTCATTGACAAGCAGTACGTCTGCGAGGATACTGTCGACGGATTCTTAATGGCCTTTATGAACTTCCTGAGTAAAGAATAACGTAACCTTCCACGATGTGTGCATGATGACGACGAACCGGAAGATCATCCAGCTAAACTACTCCAGTTAGATTTGTCCACCTTTACGGGTAAATACGAACATTAGGATAGTTTCGTAAATATTTTCAACACACTCGTGTATAATACGTCGCATATCGCGAACACGATGAAACTTCAATACCTGAAGTCATGCTTGACTGGCGCAGAGCCTGAGCTGATTAACAATGTGATGATTCTTGGAGTCACTTATGCATCGACGTGGAATTAGCTTAGGAACCGCTTTCATCATCGTTTGATAATCGAGAAGCTACTTGATTCGCAAACAAATAAAATGAACTTAAAATTTGCAATGTTGTAGACGACAAAAATTTCAAAAATAAAAAATAAAATATCTGATTCGATTTATAACTTCTGAATAAAGCCATAGTCATATATATATATATATATATATATATATATACTTCCAAAAATCACTTTTCATAAAGTAAAAATGTGCATGATTACTTTATTTTCAAATAAATTATTTTATACTTTTATTTCATTGATTATCTATCTAATTTCAATGCCATAAAAAATATCGACGACGTTAACGATTTATTTGTATTTATTTGTTGTTTATTTGTTGTATTTTACAACTGTTGCTCTTTTTATAACCAACTGTGTGCCTTAATCTCAGTTTTTACTATACTGTGACGTCGTGGCAACGACACAGCTCAGGTGCGCCTGAGGCTTAGCGCAATCTCAGGTTTCGTTGTCGCCAGAACTGCGATTTCTCGCCTAAACTGTCGTGAATCACTCGTCAAGAAATTGTCTAAATCGAGGGGGATAGTGCCACAGAGCCTATACTTCTGCTCTCAGATTCCGATCGAAAGTCGTAATCTTTGAGCTAGAAGCACCACGGGTCCTATCAATAGTAGTACCCGGGTTTTCCTAATTATATTAATACCTAGAGCCTATCAAAAGTAGTCTCCAGATAATAAAAAAAAGAAAGGGAAGCACGAGCTATTTCTTAACTAGAAGAAAGAAAGATTGAAAAACAGGAAATAAAAATTATTTCGTTTGCTTACTGTTTTTTTTTATTTTATAATACGCCTTTTTCGGCCTGTGCGTTCTTGTTGTAAATCGGTTGATTTTCCCTTGTCTTCTCGTTCCGCTTGGCTGTTTGACTTCCTGCTCCTTACTGATAGTCTGCGTGATTTTTCTTCGACTCCCTTGATTTTTCCTTGACACTGCCTGGTATTTCCTCAACTGCTTGATTTTCTTTTTCACTCTCTAATTTTTTTCTCCACAACTGTCGCTCGAGGCTCGTACATCTCTTTTTATACACTGGGGGTGGCTGGGTGGTAAGTCCCTCTCCCAGCGTCTTGGTTTTGGGAGGAGTGGAGCAAGCGATGATGCGTTCATTGGCTCGTTTGTCTCTTCTCCTTTTCCTCACTGAGTTTTCGGGCCTTAATTGGAGCGGGGGCGTGGAGAAAATCGGGGGAGCGGACGCAAAGGCCTTGGCTCGCGAGATGGCTCCTCGAGTACCGTTTTCAACCAAAATTTATCCAGTAAGCGGGTTTACAATAACTTAAAGATTATTTTTTTGTATAAACTCGATAACTTACAAGTTACTTAGTGCTAGAGACAACATGGTAGGTTTTTTCGCAATTACTGTTGATTACAATTTGTATTGAAAATAAGTATTACAAATAATTATAAGTATATAATTTATAATGATAATAAGTATAAAGTATAATCTTATTATTTCGCACGTTGTATTGTACAGATTTATGGGTGTTTTATTAAATTATTCACTAATCATAATCGGAGTATTAATATAAGAAAAAAAACTTATGTAACTTAACAAGGCGATTATTTCCTAATTTTTTACAATAAAAATCCGTTTAACAACATAGTACGCATATATAATAATTTTTTATCTTGGATTTTTCTCCGTTTTTTTATTTTCTAGCTAATCCTAACTTTGAAATGAGAACTCGATGAGAGGTTTGAGAAGTCATATTCATCCGGGATGTATTGCGATAGTTAAATAATTGCATTTGGATAATTTTAAATTTTATTTCATTTCAATGGTAAATTTTTGAGCATCTTAAAAGGAGGAAAAATCCGTTGGGAAAAGAAGCATACAGGATGCAGTCGCGGTTTTACCACTCTCTCCTCTCATCGACATGTTGACGCTTGTTATACACGTGCAAGGGGGCTACGCGCTCTTTACATGCGTGAGAGAACGCTGGCTCGGATGCAGTACGGATTTTATTGCTTTTCGAGGGAAATTCTTATCTTGACACTCATCTCGGTCCTCCTCGCTATTAAGCAACTGTTCTCATTTCGTGCTTGCCTTAGATGCTATACAAAAAAAATATTCTTACGAAAAATTAAAATTTTAAAAATGGTCCGCCGTCACAATACTCTTTAGATAGAGATTCTAAACTTTTGAAAGTAGCGGAATCAATCTATCAAAATGGCACTGGTATTATAAATTAATTTTTTCAGATAATACTTTACATATACGTTTCATATGTACATATCATAAATATTGTAAATATAATATCCAACAAATTAATTGACTCATTTCTTTGTATTTCTTGTATTAAGTATTTATTTAAAACTTATATACTTATTAGTTTCGACATTTTACTATATCTATATTCAAATAATAAGATTACATATTCTTATTAGTTGTTTATAAAGTTTTAGAAGTAATAAAGTTTGTCTTAATATAACACGAATGCTATAGGTTAGTTTCACAATTAAATAATTCATAAATTTTATTCATAACTTAAATTAATTAAAAAACAAATTAAATAAATTTCTTAATAATCTTAATTACAATTTATATATGTACTAATCTTTGAAATATATTATATTTTATCGATCTTATTTCAATAGCATAAAAAATCTTTAAAAAGTTAAATGTTGCGTTACTTCATTTTTGGATAACTATTTGTATCGAATTTTCTTAAATATTGTTTTAATATTTTTGAAAGTAGTGAAATCTATCCAAAAATCCAGCACGGATGCTATAAATTACTTTCAAATGCTTGACATAACTTGTTAAATAGGAACTTTATAGCATAACAAATTACATTAAAATAAATAATCTAATCTACTGTTTATAGTCATTATAGAAAAGAATATTCATTGTTTATATATTGTGTAACGGAGAATCTCGGTTATGCCGCTTTCGTCCGTTTGGCTCTCGCAAATGTTCGCGCGCCGCGCCAAGCTGAGAGTGTGTGCGTGTGGCACGCACACTAATTCTTGGTTTTTGTTTTAAGGTGTTGTATACGGGCTAAGCTGACGGCTGGAGCAATCGAGATGGCGCGGAGGAAGAAGAGATAGAGAGAGAGAGAGAGAGAGACAGAGAGAGAGAGAGAGCGCTCTAGTTGCGGATCACCGCGGAAAATTTAAGAAGAAAGTATCTGCTGGGCTTTGAGCATAGAAAGTCACGCGCACGAATTAAAACCGAAGTTAACGGTTTTCCGGAGTTGGCCTCGCGACCTCGTCAACGTTCATTTTCGGAGACACGCCCAGTGCGCGGACGAGAATTGGAGTGTTGTGGCTGGGTCGCGCCCAGCCGTGTCCCGAAGGATACCCGGCACCGGTGCGTGTGGATAACCGGCGAGGTGTGCGGATGCGCGCGTGAACGGACTTTATTGATGCTGCAGTACCGAACAACCGAAGAGCAGCGGAAGCAACAACAACAACAGCAACGAGCGGAACGACAGATTGAGGCAGCAACATTAGTAAAACGAACGAGAGGACGAGCGAGAGAACAACGAGCGACGACAATAACACCAGCGAGGCGGTCAGCGAGAAGGAGCGTACCAGTGACGTCAAATTGCGAAGAGTTCTAGCCGTCAGAGAGGCTGAAGATCGAAGTCGGTGCCGTGTTTTCTCTTGTCTCTCTCTCTTGCATGTTCGGGTGCTAACTGATGGGTGGTAGTGCGGCAGATCTGCTGGCTACCCTGTTGATGAAATAACGGTGGAAAGTGTTTGTTGGGCATTTATTATAATAAATTTTGCTATAAAAAATGTTGCTTCCCGCAGCCGCGAAAAGGCATACGCGTGTCCGCGAGTCGAGACTGCCTTTTGCAGAATTGACCAACATACATAATAGCGAAGGCGAAAGAGAGAGGTAAGCACTTCTCCTCTTCTAAAGGTGTGCTAGCTGGTTTTGAATTTTCAATTGCTCAAAAGCTATCTTAAACTTTTAAAATAATCGTTTTTATGTTTTCTTCTGCAAGATCAATGGAGACTTTGTCGAATTTTCTTGACTTCTTTGATTCGCCTTTCTCCGACTCGGAAGACTATTTGCCATTCTTCGAGTTCGCATTATTTTTTAAACAGTCGGAGTTGCAAATTCTCCATTCATCGTTTGTCCGTATCTTCATCCCATACTAGGCTTTCGTTTAACTGTTCACCCGCTTTAGAGGGTGTCGATCTTCCACTTCTGTTTCCCGACATAGTTGGCACGTTGCGGAAATTTGTATATGATAGTTCTGTTTTGGGTATATTCTTATCGGTGCTAATATTTTATCGGTGAAATGAAATATTCTGTGTCGAATAAATATCAACTTGTATACTTTTATAAACATAGTATGCAACGACTGTAAGTATGAGTATCGAATACCTTTGTGAGAAAAGTATCCCGAACCCACCGCTGTGTCACCAATATTACGTCCTTTCTTTCTTTTCCTCTCACGGGGGACTCTCCTCCGATTTCTTTTTAATCTTGTTCGAATGTAAAGAGCGCTTGAAGTACTGCTCACAGCCACGCATACCATACAAGTTGAAAGGGATTAGAGGAGAGTTTAGATATTTCAATCAATTTCTGTAGAAACTATTTCGGAGAAGAAAGTTTATTCACTTTGTTTCTTTTATTATAAACAGTTCAATAGCGAAAAAAGTATGTTGCTTATTGGCATGAAAATAAACCTCACCGATCTATCCTTTATATATATATATATATATATATATATATATATATATATATATATATATATATATACTCCGCTCTTCTTACTGTAAATAAACCGCAATAACATATGATTTGCTCTTTCATGCGACGACTCCCGCGAAGGCGAGAAACGAGAGATGAAGAGTGAAGGAAACACTTCTCTTTCTCGTCTTCTCAATCCTATACTGATAAAGTATGAGTCTGAAGTTTGTAACGTTATTTGATAACGAAAAACTCAAAAAAATCGAAATGAAAAATTACTTATTTTTATTGATTCAAACGCTTAATATAGTGATTTATATCAAGATAATATATCGCAAGTACAATATTTGCCCTTAAAACTACCCTTAGGATATTTTTACATGGCAGACTATAGGGACATGGGATAAAACTGATTGTCTTATTATTAACAAAAAAATATACAATAAACAGAAACCCTCGATAAACATATTATAACGAATGAAATTGCTGACTCGTTATGTCTCTGTCTCCCTAGTAGCGATAAGAAAATGTAACCTGTTTCTCCGAACCTATCCTATGTATTCACGAATTTATTGTATTTATGTTTATTTATTGTATATTTATATATGTAAGTATACTCCTGTTCTGCAAGGTAAGTGAGGTGAGAGAAAGAGATGCGAATACAGGGACACTTCCGTGCGCGACAGCAAGGTGCGGAGAGAGAGAGACAGATATAGTCGCGTCTTAGCGAGTGACCGCGTGCACTGATTGGCTCACTGAGACGGAATCGCGTAGTTGAGCCCACGGAGCGAGGAGTAGCTGTTCCGACACGCTAGTGAGCGGACGGAGTCCCATCGAATGGTTTCTCTTACCGAACCTCAGCTTTATCCTTCTGCCCTTTTTCTTCGCCTCTGGAGTTACGTGGGAGACGTTTGGTGTTCAACCTTTCTCTCGTTGTGAGTGTCTCCACTAGGGGAGCAGATTGCGACGTCGTCTGACTCCTCGGACAGATTGGACACGTGAGCTAAGGCTGCTGGTGTAGAGGATATGTCTGCCGGTGTACGAGGGACTGTTTCTGTCGAAGGAGCTAGAGCTGTGTGGTGCACGTGGCGACTCATCTATTCTGTGTGCGCGGCAACGCAGCCCTGCACAGAAACAGTCGACGAACTTAGGGTTTAGGCATCTATCTTGTAAGTTCTGTTTTGATGGTTTGCTCTCTCTTTCTTTATTCGTTCGCTCAGCGTGCTCTCTCCCTCCCTCCGACCATCTTTGTTAATTATAATTAACTTTGTTATTTTTAATTATAGAGTTTTGTAAACGTTCTAATATATTTATATCCCGCTATTTTTTTTGTACACCCTACTTTCTCACGTCGACAACCGCTTTCAAGCTACCGACTTTCGCGTTCCTTAACCGACACGACGAATCTGCGCTGATCTGGCCGTCCTGTCGCCGACGCGACGAACACCGGACCTGGGAGGACGACTACGTCCAGGAATTTCAGACTTCGTTTACTCGATCATTCCCTATGTATTACTTTATATATTCACGGGGTAAACGGAGCTAAATCCCCGTTATAATATTAATAATATCTATTTTTGTGCCAAGTTTCGTTTATTGCGCTCCCTAATGACCACCCCTCCAGCACCGTTCCTAGCGAATTTCAAAGTTATTAATTGCGGTAATTCGTATCAACACAGTTTTTTAACGAAAAATGGGTTTTCTAATAAACACTACTTATTATTGGGTAATTATATTTATATATATTAGTACTATATATATGTATATATATATAACAACGAAAGAATCAGTGTATATTCATGCACGCGTAGAGATATAGACAGCTACAAGTGCGGTAGGGAAGGCAGCTAAAGCATCGGCGGTGGGAGGAGTGCTGAAGGCTCGATTTCTAACAGTGCGGCAATACTGGTAAGCGGCTGAAGAGGCAGAGATATACTAAATAATAATAATGTCCGAATCCACATCTAACTTGCCCATTGTAATTTCGATGTGCATTTACACGAACCACTGAAAAAGAATTGACAATTGCAGAAAATACGTCTGCGAGTAATATATATCATAATAATTGATTATATTAATTTATGAACAAAGATTCACAGAGTAAGTTGTTTTTTTTCATTTTAAGAAATTAATATCGTCAAATATCTATAAATGCGTTTGATAAACAAATTACAAGACACCTTTTCGCTTTTAAATGAGCTATATTTATTAAAAAAAATAGTTCGATTAAAAAATTTTTTCATAATTTGTTTAAACAATTGCATTTCAAACAAATTTCTATTATTTTATCGAAAAATCTAGTGGTGGATTTGGACATTATTATTATTTAATGTGTCTCTGTCTCTCCAGCCGCTTACTAGTGTTAGAAATCGTACCATCAGCACTCATGCGGCCTTTGTTGCGTGCCTTAGTTGCCTTCGCTGCCGCTCTTGTAGCTGTGTATATCTCTTCACGCGTGCATGAATATATCTATATATATACTTCCATATAAACATTTGTTAAGAAATCCTTATTTTACTGTTACTAATTTGTTTACTAATGCTGCATGTTGATAATATTTTTGAAGTATTTCCTAAAGAAATTAATCAAGGATCGTGGTCAAGAGCCGTAAGCGAGTAGGCACGAAGTGGTCACGACGACTGTTGGTCGGCCCCAACACTGTATAGTAAAATGGAGAAATGTCAGGTTTGTCGAACAGAATATACCTATTTTTTCATGCTTCTAGGTATCGCTTTCCTAATGTGATATATAGTTTAAAAAGTCTAGATTCTCTTCTATTATTCTCCATTATTCATTATAGTACTCCATGGTGTTTTATAATGTTCTATGGTGTTTGACGCATCTTGATGGATTCATTGTCCTCTATTGTTCTTTATGGTATTCCATGGTATTTGATGGTGTTTTATGGTTTTCCATGTATCTCGATGAATTCATAGTTCACCATTGTCCCTTATAGTACTCTATGGGTTCGGGGTGGGTTTCATGGTTTTCCAAGGTGTTCCATGGATCTTGATGAATTTTTTATTCTCCAGGGTTCCCCATGAATTAGTTAGTGTTTTATAATGTTTTATGGTGTACCTCGGAAATCGATGAATTCCTGATTCTCCAGGGTCCCCATGAGATTCTATGTTATTTTATGTTAATGGTATTGTACGAATCTCGATGGATTTATCATTCTCCTTGGTTCCCCATGATTTTGCAAACAGTTTTATGGTTTTTGACATATCTCAACGGATCCCTTGTTCACTTTGCTTCCCCATGATATGGCAAGGTCGACGCATTTTGATGGATTGATAGTCTTTCATTGTTCCTTATAATACTTCATGGTATTTTATGGTGTTTCACGATTCTTGATGAATTCCTGGTTCTCCATAGTTCCTCATGAGTTTCCATGGGTTTTACTGTGTTTTATAGTATTCTACGAATCTTGATGGATCCATCCCATAGAGTTTTTTAGTATTTTATAATACTACTGCTCTAGATGGATTCATGGTCCTGCATTGTTCCTTATGGGACTCCATGGTGTTTATATTTTATTATATGGTGTTTTACGGATATTGATAAATTCATGCTTTTCCTTGTTTCCTCATCACACTTCATGGATCTCCATGGAATTTCATTGTGTTTTTAGTGTTTTATGGTGTATCACAGTTTTCGATGAATTTCTGATGTTCCATGGTTACTCATAAGATTTGTAGTATTTTATTGTGTTTTACAGTGTTCCACGGACCTCGATGGATCCAACACACTCGTATGTAATACGTCGCATATCGTGAACACGATGAAACTTCAATACCTGAAGTCATGCTTGACTGGCGCAGCATCTGAGCCATGGTTCTCCATTGTTCTTTTTAGCACTCCATGGGTTTCATAGTGTTTTAAGATATTCTACGGATCACGATGGATTTCATAGTTCTCGATTGTTTCTTATTGTACGCAATGGGTATTTTATGATATTCTACGTATATCGAATTCACAGTTTTCGATGCTTTCTCATTGTACTCCATGGGTTTCCATGGTATTTTAAGGTTTTTATGGTGTTT